CCGCCCCCACCCATGCACTCTATAATATTAATGTTCATTGTCCTAGTCCTAGACGCCATTAGTCTGTTAATATTCGTTTCGTCTGCGCTCTACATCTGTCCCATTCCTCTCTAAGTAATATCACTTACTAATTATTCTCACAGAACCTTTGCGCGCCACGAGTCTCCCCTCCCCTCCCCTCCCCTCTATGGATAATTTTCCTTTCCATTTGTGGTGCGATTCGCGACTTTGCGCTCCACGAGTCTCCCCTCCCCTCTCTGGATAGTTTTCCTTTGGGACATTTGTGGTGCATTTGCGCACCACGAATATTCTCTTCTGTTTCCTCATTTCCTGATCTGTGAATAATTTTCCTGTGTTTATTTTGTCTCGCAGGATTTGCGCGCCATGAGTCTGATGTTCTCCGTTTCTTCCCCTAAAAAATCCGATATTAGTACTTTATTGCTGCCAAGTCTTGAAGACTTATTATCAATATGTAAAAAACACCAGAATCGAAAACAGAAGCGCCTTAAAGCTCGCCAGTCGAGTTTGGAAGAGTCCCCAGGGGAAGATACCTCTGACAACAGCGCGACTGATTCTACCGAAGCGCCTCAAAAGAAAAAACGTCGAAAAACTAACGACAGCGACGATGAAAGTGAAAAACAAGAAAAACCGGTTTCCCCGGAAATCCCCGGACCTAGCGGTGAAAGTAGTAAAACCGCAAAGCATGATGGTAGCAGTGAGGCTCCTCAGAGACCAAAGCTACACCCCCTACTTGGATCAAGACCTGCTTTAGACTGGGTTGACCATTTAGCCAAGGCGGTACAAACTGCTATTGCTAAAGTTCCAAAGTAGGCACGATATCTTCCACACAAAAATAGGAAAATAAAACAAATCACAAGATGTCAAGAAAATCGAAGAGAGACAGAAAAGAAATGTTTGACCGGAATTGAGGAGTCAATCTTTTACTTGATGCGGCAAAGCTCGCATTACATCGATAACTTCTCGCTATTTTATGGTTTCTATAGCCTCTGTTTTGTTGTTATTAACGAGGAAAAAATTCTTTGCAAAATTATTACGAAACCTTTGTGGTAAAGCGAGACGAGTCGAGTGACAAATTCAAAGAGAAAATAAATTGAGAGTGTAAAAAGTTAACTGACGTGATTGATTCTTTAATCATTTCGGGGTTTTTAATTTAATTGATAATTTCGTGCCAATTTGCATTTAATGCCCATTCGATTTCTGGAGAGTCGAATATTCTTTAGCTTAGCTACATTAACTATTGCATTAGAAGGATACGTTGGAAGAGAACGTCTAGCATTCCTGGACCCTGCCTATAGTTTTACCTTATTGAAAAGTTTTTGCGTCCATAGACAGACCCCTTCACAGTTCCCTGCGCCATCTTGAAAGGTAGCCGTGCCTTTGCATCGAAGCGAGACGAACGGTGAGCTTGCAGTGATGGAAACCTTTTTTAACACCTTGGACAATTATTCACATGTCTCTATCATTGCAAGCTCACCGTTCGTCTCGCTTCGATGCAAAGGCGCGGCTACCTTTCAAGGTGGCGCAGGGAACTGTGAAGGGGACTACTATGATGCGAAGAGTAATGTATTATGGTATTTGTGGTCGCCGCCATTTTGCCACAGGTATCCCAAAATAGCGGAGATGTTCAGGGTTTTTGTCAGACCCCTTCAGAATACCCCCATCGATCAGCATTGGAACAGCCATACATATTCCCCTTCCCATCAGCCGTAACGATCACACCCAGACCCAGCGCCCCATTGGACACTTTGTATGACACCTCGGTGATATTAAGTCCCAGTGCTCGCGCATCGTTGAGGATATTCTCGGCGATGGCAAACTCTTCCATACGGACATCTTGATAGAAACTATCAGTACTGGGGAGCAAAAAGGTTGGGGTGTTAACAGCTTCTCTTGGTGTCTTGTAACTGTCCAAAATACTTGTTATAAACTGGTTTGTGTTCATGGCGTAGGACTGTCCTACAACTGAAACAGCGAGAACGGGCTTGCGGCCATTGCCTCCTTTTCTGTCATTTCCCGATTCCTTAAGAGCAAGCACGGGTTGTAACCCGTTGGGAAGTCTTGTCCCCGGCTCGGTATTTTTAACATAGCTTTTAAAAATAGCTGCTGAGTGTGGAAGAGCATTCCCTTGCAAGAACAACCCTGTGCCCCACATAAGGCTATTTATAGTATGAATCATTGCGCATGCGTTTCCTTCGGTATCCAGGGCAACGACACCATCTGAACCAAAATATTCCTCGAGGTTAACTGCCCTTTTTTCTTCTGTACCGCCGAGTAGCTTCTTGATTATTGCATTGGCCTGTCGCATCTTTTCAGGACTTCTTATCTTCTCCCACAATTTCTTTGCATTCTCTTTAGTTTTCCTGTTGTTTAAAGAAAAATCAGCTCCAAAAGATTTCTCAAGGATATCCAATCCGTTCTTGACTATCTTCCCGTACCAAGACGCAAAGAAACTTAACCGGGATATAGAACCTAGCCAAAACAGTTTCGAAGAATTGCTAAGATAAGAGCTTTCGCTATCACTTAAGCCGGCTAGCTCCATGAGGTTTAACTTTTCCACCAGCTCCGCTCCGCCCCAGTCCGACCCTGACGAATAGATTTGATGTCCGCTGTAGGTGGTGTTTGCTGGCTCGTTCCATGTCGCCTGAGAGGAAAAGGCTCGAATTAAAATCCATTTAAAAAGTTTACTCAAAAAGGGAATGTTTTAATTGAGCTAATGTTTGAACTGATCAGATCTCCCGTTATATTAATTGACTTCTTACACGATACGGCGAGATCTAGAGCCTCAAAAATTATTGAACACCTTGCCCAAACATTGTGCATGCGTTCAATTTACCTGGTAATTTGCCATGTCTGCTGCGGTAATTGTGCCTTGCTCTTCCTGGACTATCGCAGCCATGGTTCTCCCAAAGAAGCCCTTGTAAAAATAGTCCTTCCCCGACGCCGAGATGTTCTTCAGGAACTCGGCCATAAGCGGTTGTCTGAATAATTCCTGGTATGCGTAAGGTTTTCCAGTAACTGGATTGGTAAACTTGGCCCTTCCTGGAAATTAAAGCAAAGATTGAAAATAATACTAAGCCCTGGGACTTTTACTTTAAGCTTGGGGTGAATGTCTACGAATCTAAACAGCAGACTATGGCATTGTCACTTCATTTTTACTATACGCTATCTAGAGCAACTTTAAATGCGCATGACCTCTTAGGTTACTCTTTTCAGTTTATGAATTGATATATGAACTGGTTTTTAGAATTTTTCTTGTTTGTTTGTTCCTCTTCTTTGATTAAAAATAACCAGGACCATACTTCCAGACATCGAGTGCTGAACCGTCGTATGGACTTACGGGTACGCCGGAGATTTCAACCCCGACACCGCTATCCCGGGAGGATTTATAGACTGATCAGGAAGCTCGGCCGAAGCCTAAGGGAAGCCTATGACCAGCATACCCGATATGGCGATTGTATCAATAAGGACTAAGATGTCATGGTCGTCAATCCCTTCCACGTGGGATGTTTTCAAAAGACCAAATTGAAGGAGCATTTTTTGTTTTTTTATTTTATTGTTGTCACATATCTAACGCCAATTCAGAAACACAGATCGTCTCAATCGCAAACTTTCATTCTTGACCAAAGCTATTTCCTGCTATTTATAGAAAGTTTTCACGTGACGTCACAGCGGCCATTATGGGGTACCAAAACAATACATTTTCTATCCTCCGGGAATTCAACTCTATTTTTATGCAAAAACTGTGCGGAAAGTTTCGCATGACGCAGTTGGATATCGCTGGAAATCATGACAAAACTAACCATGTGTTTCGAATACCTTCTTATTACTTACCCTGGGGCGTTCGTAGTAACGTCTTCGAGTTATAATTAACATAAATACTCCCGTACAACCAATAGGGTAACTTGAAACCTTTCTCTGTGAAATAAATCGCGGGCTCAAGAAGCGTGCTGAGAGGAAACTTCGCAAATCTCTTCGCTGCCTCTGTTACCCCTGCAATGAATCCTGGGATAAGAACGGTGGCGCCATTTGGGCCTTGTGAATGTACTGGTGGGATGTCTGGGGGTACGTGACTTGGTATATTCCACCCACCATCTAGGCTGTAGACTTTGTCTGTCTTACGATCGTAATAAAGAATGTTGGTGACGCCCGTGTATGATACGTACGATCCCGCAGCTAACGCAACCTCTGGAAAAGATGGAATTTAAATTGTTTAATTTTGCCTCTTAGGATGTCAAATAGAAATTTTTCACGAGGAATCCATGTTGGAGTGGAACGAAAGGCTTCTGCCCGTTCAGGCCATCCTCGCGTAGTCCTTTCCTGAAATCCAATGCATCCTGGTCTCACTTCGGTACAAACATCTTTTTTTCATCATGCCTTATATGGTGTTGTTTTCACCCAAGCTAGACCACAATGCATCCTGTTTATCGATCTCAGAAAAGGACTATTCAAGCGCTTCAGGACGRGTTTTCACGGGCAAAAACAAAGGCTTTTGCATTGCAGTGCATCGTGGGATTGTTTCAGAGGACATTTCAAAGATGGCATCTATCTTATCTAAAACAGTCCCACAATGCAACGCAATGCCAACTTGATCAAGTATTTTCCCTTAACTTCGGAATGGCTAATAATAGCAACTGTCTACATGTCATCTTACCAGTTATCGCCGTAGACAGACAAGCATCCATCGCATTTCCTCCTTTCCTCAGAGCATCCATTCCTACGTGCACTGCAAACGCGTTTGTCGTCCCTGCCACCATTCCTTTGCCACTGCTGAAAGCTAATGGTTTTGGTCTGTAGTCCTTTATAAGGTTCAAGCGTTCAAACCTCTCATACTCCCCCTCAGGCCAAGACTCTGGGGATAGTGTAACGCTTGCAGACATCTTAGGACAATAGATTGTCCAAAACATGCAGAAATACACAAGAAGATGTGACCGAACCATTTTGGAGAACTCCAAACCTTTTTGATTCGTTTGAACATGTATTGAACTAATAAATAGGACAATCGGTGTGTCTAGCTGTATTGAATTGCTCCTCATGGAACGGCCAATCAGAGTAGCTGAAGGGTTAATTTGCGTCATTCATCAACCAATCACAGCACATCTTGCTTAAGACAATCTTTGATTAGTTTTTCAGCTTTCAAAATAATATATATCGAATCCTATCTTCATCTCCATTTAAATTTCCCATAGCACATGGTTATTGTTAATATATATTTTTTCACAATTATTTATCAAAAAGCATTTCTCACGTAATATATATACCCAAGTCTTTACTCCTCGGTGGTAATCCATTTAAAAGAATTATACTGATCCTTGGTCGGCTACGAGAGGGTGCGATTTTAATTTGATGCAATCGATCTATGCACGTCTATGGAATCAAATACCACCTTTCATTAGGAGTTTATCCAAAAAAAACTTCCAAAAGGAAATCAAAACCGTTTTATTAAACGATCTTAATATTAATCGCTATGATACTGAGATCTTCAAACTTTTTAAGTAAGTCTATCTGTAATGAGCTATTTTTCATTTTCTACTCAGTGAACTACTTTTCATTTTCTATTCAGCTCTTTGTACTCTGATTATTTAGTATTATTAACATATAAAGACATCTTTGTAAATCTACGTGTATATTCTGTGAATTTAACCTGCCTAGACTAGCTTTAGCTATATGCAGGTTATATAGTTTTTCTTTTTTGTATTCTTTTATTCATCAATAAAGTTTACTAACTTGGTTTACTAATCGATCGCTTTATAGAGGTTGAAAATAACATTTGACGGTCTGTCGCTCAAGGTTGCTGATAGATCTTTCTTGGTCGTTTAAGACAGGTGGTCGATAATGAAAGGTTAAGAAACCTCAATGGATGGTTAGCCACGAAACTTAGACGCTAGTTAGTTGCTTGTATGAGACATTTTAGATACTTCGAATTGAGTAACGTTCTAGATCATGCACAAACTGTCGAAAAATTTTTTTTTAGTTTCATCCAAAATTCAACTCAAATAAATCAAATAAAAACAATTATTATTTGCAACTGTGTTTAGCAAACTCATTCAGATTTTTTGTTCTTCAGTTCAGTCGAAAATACAAAGTCAGTTTATTTTTTGTTTTTTGTTTTAAAAGATTTTGTTAGAGTTTTTTGAGCATCAGTGTTTGCTGTAGTGTCTAACAGAAACAGCTGAAGCGTTACAGTTTTGTGTTTTGTTTTAATATAGACAAAACCGACTTACACTTTGCTTCTCTGTCAATCAAGCTGAAGTTCGTGCCATTATCGTTGGGAAAGCAGTTGGGTTTCTGCAATATCAAATGAGAGTGTTGTCTTCCTAAACGTACTAGCACTTAAGTATAGCTTAATTTATTCACATCATAAATATAAACTTTCCATATTTGTCATATTTCATGACCAATATACGGTTAGATCAAGGCAATGTGACATCGTTATAAAATATACAGTTTAAAAAACATCAAAACATCAATACATTGTTACATTTATTTTCAATCCAAAAACAAAAATCCATAGTTTTAAATTATTTTAATCATTCTTATGACGGTTTAGTTGCACAAAACATTATTTGCACTGTATTGTTTACATTAAAACGTTTAGAATCTCAGCCAAAATGATTTTCACTTTTGTCGGAAACGACAATGTTTCTCTTTTTTGGTCTTCATTTTGGCGGGAAAAAAGAGTGCGAACAATAAGCCCAAGATATTAAAYATTTGGTTGAAAACGCACTCATTAGAATGATCTAAATATTAAATTAAAAATAAGCCCTCATAAAAGCYTTTTTCTATCATTTTACCCGCTAATTATAACGCGATAAGTGGCTGTCTTTCGGATGTGGTGCTTCTAGACAACTGAAAAGAATATATATTTTTTCATAGTTTATCGCTTTTAATAACATTGATATATACATATATATACATTATCCCCGATGTTATTAAACTGTACGATGTACACGTATTGTTACACAGTGTTAAATATAGTTCACTCCACGCTAACCACATCTTACTATACTTCACATTATCGCCTATATTTTGCCGTCTTCAACCCTCATCATTATGTTGTCGTAATTAATTTTCGCCTACAAAAGGCTTTTTTTATTTTTCTCTTTCTAATTTCCATTCAAATTCTAGTTCTGTCTAGCGAGAATAATACTTAAGGATTAAAAAAAAATGACATGTTATGGCTCTGTTCGAATCAATAATGATTCCTAATATCTTTATTTTTCCTCTTAGATGAACTGAAAAACTCAGCAGGGAGTACTAAAATATAAAAAAGTATATGTCTTTCACAACTATGAATATATTTTTGTTACTCAAATAAATCAAACATCTGACCAAAATGCCAAGGTATCACTTAGTCTCAAATGAAAGCTGACATTAGATTTATCATTAATATTCAACACTAGATTGTCAGATCTTGTTATTCAATGTAGAGTACGTTTATCATTTCGGCCCAAAGTGCTGTTGAAAGCTTTGGAAAGATTAATTGACGCGTAGAAAAAGATGTAAATGTAATGAAAATGAAATTGGAAACAAAAACCTAAATATAGATTTATGACAGATTTATAAAATATTGAAGTTGCGCAAAGACACACACTTGTATCGTTGACGAGTTATTATTTATTCAAGGTATTGTTCCTAGCTTAATCAATATGCGCATAATTATCTGTTATTATAAAGAAACAATCTACATTTGAAATACGGTATTATAACTAAGGGAAAAGACATTAATGTAATCGGGTGAATAACTTTGAATTGTGTTTTCGCCGAAATTTCCAGGGAAAGATCATTTGTAAGGAAGATGGGAGAACCAGGAGAGACGTCGAATCAGCAAGAACACGGCTCTAAAGTCGGGAATGTAAAACGCAAGGGTAAACTTACGGAGCTTGATCGCTTGAAGAAACGACAGAAAGAATTACAAATCATGAAAATGTCGCAGGAATGGGACGCTAGAAGACACAAGCGAAGAATGGATCGAATCCAGTGGCTTCAACAAAGAAAAAATCATGTTCCCCCATCAACTGAACGAGACCAAAATACTGTGAATACTGTCGAGGATTCAAGAAATGAGTATTTGGACTCAAATGTCGTCCTCTCCAAAACAAACAATTCACCGGTGTCAACGCATTCTAGCAGTGAAATTTTCAGCGAAGGACTACGAGAAATAGAAGTACAATCCGAGGAGAATGACCGAATTGAAGATGAAGCCTACGGAAAGAGGAAGTTTTGTGAGGAGGACGATTACTACAGCGCGGAAGAGAGCCATTGCACAGCTTGCGAGTCGAATGAAGAATACAAATCAGTTGTTGTCAAAACTGAGCGCCTAGATTCTGATAGTTTTTGCAATTCTAATGAATCGAAACAACCTATTCAGTCTTACTCGAAAAACTCATATCATACGAATGTTGAGTCAGACAAGAAGGCTAGAAAAGAGGTAATGTGAGAATCAACTTTCTTTCTTTTTGATAAGCATTTAAAAAATATATATATTCATGAAATATAAAACATTTTAATAGATTGAGAAAAAGTAAGATTTGCATACGAGTTGATTATGGAGACAAACAAAAATTATTTCACTTTGAATGCAATTCAAATCTCGTTATGAAAACAATTATTTTAGCAGTAGAATTATTCCAGGGTTGAAGAAAATCCGGCTATTAGTAACAAAATTTTATCGCAATTTGATTTAAATTGCGATGGAAATATTGCCTTGATTTTTTTTTGGCGGCAAACGAGCTGGAAAAAAAAGAAGTCTTGCCCACGTGTAAAGTACAATGGAACCTAGAGAATTGCTTTATAAAGAAAGTCGCAGAAACAATTGAACAGTCTTTTTAGAAAAGAAAAATCAATTGAATAGAATAAAGTGTTTACTTTCAAGCTCACACAAACCATTCTGGGTTTAATAAACAGCCAATAAGTTGAATATCTCACATATATGTCAGTCAATTCGCTTCGAAAATTTAGAAAATCTTAAAAAATACAAATCCCAAGGAAGCAAAATCTCTGGTATCTTTTATTTTTGGCTTCGTGGATTGTATTTTTGTCTATTTTTTTGCTGTATCCTGTTTATTTGTCACGTTAGCTATAACAAAGCGTAGACTTTTTTTWTTTATTTGCATAATACTTAATGGTTTGTCTGGGAGCTCTATGCAAATGTCGCGCCCAAAGGATTAAAATTTCATTTCAACTGACTTTTGCTTCAGCAGTCTACATTTTTCAAGCATTAGAATTTTTTTGATTATAATTTTTTTTTTCTTTATTCCCAATAATAAGAGACCCAAGAAAAAGCCTAAATATTAATCATTTGAAGTTTAATATTTGTAGCGGTTCATAAAACGTCAAACATACAATTTCTAAAATTACAATTTTCCAATGTTCGCCGTATCGTTGTTAAGTGAAATCTAAATAAACTCCAGGTTCATTTTCGAAAAAAATTCATATATTTTCTTTAAAACTATACCCTAAATTTTGATATTTTAGGTCTTTTTTTGCTGAATAAGTAAAATCTTTTGATATTTAATTAAAGAAATTTCCGTCTCGGTGAGCCGATAAATCGTCCATGCAAAATGTCAAAACTGTCTTCCATATTGAGGCAATCTTGTTATTTCAATCTATATTTAAATAATATCAACCTAAAATGTTGTATGTTTTACGATTATTGTTCTTTTATATCTTAAATGAAAATATCGTTACAATTTTTTTCAATATTTGTGACATTTAGTAATAACTTAATATATTTCTAAAGAAATATTTATTTATATAAGAAGTATTGTTATATATCTTAGCAATGTCATTTATATTGATTGCAAAATTAATCATTAACCATTATTATGATAAATTAATAATCTTATTTTATTCATGTCAAATACTGATCAAAGTGGTGTCGTGACGTTGTACTGCACTGACGTCACCGTTAATAAACATTTATAGTGTAGGGTTTGATATAACTTGACTAGATCCTTAAGAATGATATTAATCGTAAATACTTCTAGTCAACTTGGACAAGCCTCCCGCGCGACGTGGTCACGTGATGGCACTCGAAGTCTTCGCGAAATGCGGCGCGCGAGATCGTTTCATCTGATTAGAATCACTCAGATCCAATGTCTTGTAGCTCTAGAACCGAGTTTTAGCGCAATCAAGAAACCGTGCTTCCTATGGTTAATATAACTGTTTTATTTTTTGCAGGATAATCAAGTGTTTCTCTCTAAAACCAACGAAAATCAATCTACTCATGCATCAACTCTACCAAACGGTAAGCAAACCTTTGAAAATCTAGAAGAAAATTGCACAGCTAGGGTAGATTTACTCGAGAAAAAATGACAAGTTTAACTCGTTCTTAATCATGTAGAATCCAATCGAGGGAGTCCCTATCAACGGCTGGTAACAATGGTGAACGCGCACCCCCCTGTAATAGAGGAGAGATTTCTGAACACTACAGTGTACCCCCTTGGAAATGAAGAACGGTATTCTAACAGCTCAGTTATTGTGCAAGCTATGAAACAAAGTGGTTTGGACGAAAATGAAATCGATGACGTAAGTATACCACGTGATCATATCTGACCATTCAGGTCACTTAATCATGTCGCTTTCTCATTGGTAGCAACTGTAATTTTTTGCGCATGTCTAATAGACCTCTTTACCGTGGGCGTAATGTTCTCCCATTTCCCTAGAGTATCATTTCTTCGTTTAACGGTTGCGCATTAGAAGATACATGAATATGAATGCAACTCAAACAAATAATCTTATTCTCAAGAGAATGACACGGGGTCTGAGATGGGAAAACCTTACGCCCAAGTTAAAGGAGTCTGTTAAGATCGATAGTGTAACATACTTACACTATGAACGACGGTACCCCGTTACTTGCACATTCTTCTAATTCGGTTCATTTGTTTGTAGCCCAATCTTTTAATGGCTTCTGAGCCTGTTCGATTCGAAGATGTTTTACGTAAAGGAGGAACATGTATACAACGCCTTGGTGAGTCCTTTAATTACGATTTTACCACCTTTATTTGCCACATTACAAACCTTTTCGCGATGGATAAAGGTACGGTTGTAACTATACGAAGGGTGGATAGCACTATTTGATGGATAAATGGCTATCCAATAATTCACCCACTGGATAAGATTTATCCGTCGTTAATCAGTAGCACTAACTAACACAACCGGGTCTAAAAAAATTACAAGCTATATAGAACTCTTTTGAGAACACCCTGAATGCAAAGCTAACAGGAAAATATAAAATAAATTTCCATAAATTTTATTGAGAAAAATTGTGTCTCCATTTCAGACCACGTGTCATTCCCTTGAGTATAATTTCTTTGTTTAACGGTTGTGCATGAGAAGTCACATGAATATGGATACATCTCAAGCAAAGAATCTTATTCTCAAGAAAATGACAAACTGAAATATGAAACCAAACGAATGAGACCTATCGTGTTTATGCCATAAGATTCAGACAAAGATAAGCAATGATATATCGAGGTTTGAATATTTTTTTAACAGAGACGCGAACAGTGGAAATAATGTCGAAACAGCCGCAAGGCAGAATGCAAGAAAAACTTGACAAGGTAAAACACGACACTATATGTTAATTTTTTAGAAAGTAGTTTAGGTTGATATTTAGATAGCCAGCCAGCTAAGCGGTGAACGCGGTGCGCAAAGCACGAGTGCACAAAAGGACCGGCCCTAAACATGTTTGGAGATTGAAAGAACTAATCAAACACGGTGGTAAAGTGAAATTGTTTTCATTCTTCCTTTCCCTGTTTTGCTTCTTGTAGGCACGCAATATATATTTTAAAATATATATTAAATATATATCTTAAAAGTCATAAGAAAACAGAAAAATATCCTTCCTATATTTACTATAAAACAAACCTCTATTCATTGGGCACCCTTTATGAAGAGGACACCCGGCAAAGTCCCGAAGGTGTCTGCTTCTGTACCTTATCGTTATAAAGTTATCTCAGTGCGAAGAATGCTTATTTTTTGGTTCATTTTTTAAGGCTCCAGTACCGAGACCACACAGTCGAGAATCGCCATCCACAGAGGATCAGAAAAGGATTCGAAAAGGTTAGTATTACTAGCGTTAATTATACAGCTTCTCATTAATCCCATATAGGTAACTGTCCAATTATTTTCTTAATTGGACAAGTCTGTTGATTTGGGATTAATTAGGCGGCTATATAATTAATAGGTAATGGGATTGCATGCTCCCCAATCAAGAAATAATTAGACTCTAAAAATTCCTCTGTCTGCCATATTGGACTAGGCCTACGGCCTCATCCAATTTTGGAAGTCCTCGGAATTTTCCTCGTCCAATTATTTCTTAATTGGACAACATGGAGTCCTATTACATATACTTAGTGACCTCTTTTAAACGACCGTCCTTATGTGGTCGGTTGAGAGAGGTTATTATAGAAGACCTCTGATAAGAGATCAACTTTACTTGTCATCAGGTGATATAGATTGCGAGAGTTCAACTGTATATGACCTCTTTTAAGCGAGAGGTCCAAATTTTAATATAGAAGAAATCCGGACCATTTGTTCTAATATCGAAACTGATGCTTCTGCGGTCGGTTACGAGAGGTTTCGCTATAGTTATACAAGCTTCTTTTGTTGTTTTAAAGTGGAAAATGAACACAAGAACCAAGCGTTTCCTAAAATCAAGCAATGCTACTCCCTGATTGGACAAGACAATAAGTCATCAAGAACCAGTCCACTCTCTTCTTCGAGGAGCACGGGAAGCCCAATAGCAACTATGGCCAGCTCTTCGTCTGACGTTTTTACGGATAAAAACGAAAGAAGACTTCAACCCGTGGCTCAGTCTCCATCAACGAGCAGCCAACCTTGCCCTCCATCGGGTTATCTCGTTCCTATTTATAAACCATCCGCTGACGAAGTAGTATACGCTTTTGTAGCTAACGCGGGTGACCGGGGCCTTCCACGAGCTCCGGATCCCGGCAAAGTATGCACCGATGCGGGGTGTTATCGTACTGAAACCGATCCGAAAAATGCAGTGCAGGTCGGGTATTCGAGTGTACGGGCACCTACTACTACCATCCATCATGGTAGAGACCCTTTACCACGTGTTGGCCAAACCCTCCAGTTGAAGGAAGCTCATCATCCAACTAATGTCACGTGGGTGAATACGCCGATCGCCTCGACTGGGGAAAAACGAAACTTTGTCAACAATAATCAACCAGTCAGCGGTATCACCCTTAAGAGTCCTGCGCATGAGCAGGTAAAGACATCCGGGAACTCACAGCGACGAAATGACAAACATTTGCACCGAGAGACAGAAATGATTATCAAAACGAGGCACAACCCCAGCCCAGTGGTGACCAATATCAATGGATATTCTTCGGTACATACTGCGCATGCGTCTCAGACAGCCAATAAGAGTCCAGTTCTGAGAGCGAATTCTATAGACAACGCTTCAAACGATCCCATTAACAATCCGACGGCTATTTATGTTCGGCCGAAGTTGGTTCCGCGTGAGATCGTGGTTCCTCATCACACGGGATCGGGGAATGTACCCATCGTCGAGTATATCAAAACAGATGCTATTTGTGACAAAGATCTTGGGAGTTGGACTGCAAAAAATGTCGCCGACTTCATCTCAGCCACGGATTGCTCTGAAAGTGCGAAAATCTTCATTGAACAGGTACGTAATCTTGGTGAGTGACCGCTATTCTTATCCTAACCCATCTCCACTCCCACGTTCACTTCTTTGTCCGCAGTGCCATGGTAACCACCGACGTCAGCATATTTTTTCAGGGCACGATATTTTCGATTAGTTCTAACGCACTTTTTTAACAATTTTTTTCTCCCCCAGGATATCGATGGTAAAGCTGTCCTTCTACTCTCGCAAAACCTTTTTATCAACCGCTTGAACTTAAAACTCGGTACGGCGATCAAACTGTATAACCACATCGCGAACCTGCGCACTGCTTTACTGATGTGAACCAACATGCAGCTTTGTTGCCATAGCGACGATGGCCGCATTACTATAGCAACGGGATTAAGGTTTGGCATACTCTTACGTCACGTTCTTACTTGGAATAGAATTTGTTAATTGAATTTGACTTTGAATATATCACTAGAGGATTGGTCAGAAAAAGAGGACATTAATTTGTTTATATTGCAATATTACATGACCTTGAACTGCAATTTGCCAATTACAAGATTCTTGGGGTGCGTGTTACGTCATGGCCGCCATGTTGGTTGACGATAACCAAGCATTACTCACCAGCTTATCTTGTTAGATCRACCAAGATGGCGGCTGTTTTATTGCTATATATATTTCAAGGGATTTTGAGTCGTATGGATGGACCTTGACCGTTTTTTGCCTAGAATCATAGAATTCAGTTGATTTCAAGTTTACAGAATGAGAATGTTTAGCGTTTTTCACGGCTAAGCAAAGCAGTTCAGTTCTTGGCCCAACTCAACTGAATTCTATTGTGATTGTCTTCCCTTTGCTACAATAAAGCAAAATGTGACTGTAGTCAACGAGTGCCAGGTTGTGCGAGACGTCATCAATGACGTCTTGGAGTGTGACGTCATAACTACCATCAGCAAAGCCTGCGGTCAGCGTACGAGTCAGCCAAAACAGGGTGTAATCAGGGGCGCTTACCATTTACCCGGAAAAACTGGAAATTCCGGTTGGAAAACAAATGGTATGTGTTATTCTGAACGGAAAGTTCCGGAAGACTAGGCTTCTTGCGATTGAGATAATCCACTTTTCCCGCTCTTTTCGCGTGTATCATTTGTTTGGAAGTCAAAGTTTCCCGCTCTTTTCTTACAATTAGCGAATTGATTTCCAACCAAATGATTTGGTTTAAATGGACAGCACCCTGTGTTGCGTTCGTTTGCTTCCTTTTCCGCTTTCTAGTTAATTTTAAGTTGACTTTACTTCGTTTTAAACTCTATGATAACATCATAGTTATTTCGTCGACTTCATATATACAAATTGGTCCCCGGCTCTTGGAGCAATGTTCGTTTCATTTAGTAGAGGGGTCTGGTGCATGGGACATTATTCTACTAATTAATAATACTTATGGCGCATGCGTAATTCATTCATCATACCCTCTATCGCTCCAGGCCTTTGGTTTGCATTTCGGAATAAAACATAATATATTTTTAAACGAAATCCCACTCGTTAATCTAGAACTTTTTAAGGTCTTCGCGCAAAATCTAAATACGTAATAGTCCCCCTTAAACAGTTCCCGGCGCCATCTTGAAAGGTATAGCCGTGCCTTTGCATCGAACGAGACGAACGGTGAGCTTGCAAGATAAGGACATGTAAATAATTGTTCAAGGTGTTAAAAAAGGTCTCTATGATTGCAAGCTCGCCGTTCGTCTCGCTTCGATGCAAAGGCACGGCTATACCTTTCAAGATGGCACAGGGAACTGTGAGGGGCACTATGATGATCATTCTTCGTCTTATCAAGTCATCAAGATATGCTAAATTTTGTCATATAGGAAAAAGTTCCAGTTTGGAAAGAGACAGTATTTAAATGAGTGGTGGGAGTTGATATATAACTTATTTATTGTGTAATTATAATGCTACACTTGCTAGAGGATATATATGGCATAAATAACTTATTTTATTAAATATTCATCAATTTTGTCGGTTAATATGAATCGTCAGATCCTTATACTTTACATCTCATTCTCTTACTAAAAACTGGGTTAGAAGCTTCTCTCTGATTGGTCAAAATGTAATGGTTTTTATGAGGGCAAAATGCTTTTGAAAAATTGAGTAGATTCACTCGACCAGACGCCATTAAAAAATGTTAGCGTGCGCACTACTGCGCACTAATAATATAGAAGCACAAGGACCTTTTTAAGCGACCACCTTCAGGTAATTGTAAAGCGGTCGCCTTGGAGAGGTTGGTCGGTTAGTAGATGCTTCGTTTACAAAAACTTTCAAAATTGGTGGAAATCGTGTTAATTAAGACTGTCAGAAGGTGGCTTCCAAGACTTTTACGTGTCTTAAAACAAACCAATACAACTAACTTTACGTGGTCACGTGGTTTAAGTTAACCAATCAGAAGCAGATCCTGCAAGAGGGTTTCGAGAATAAATCACGTGGATAGGGCAACTAATCAGAGTCATCTGGATAAACCAATCCCATGCCGAGGCAAGATCACGTGGTACGAACTGAGAGCCAATCAGATCAGTGGACTGCATCATCAGGTAATTATTAGCCTTTCCGAGGTTGAGGAAAAAACTGGTTCGGGTAGGCATTGCAATTATGCATTGTGTGTGTTTAAGGGGCCTATATCGAAGATGGAGTTTTTTGTCCCCTAACAGTCCACTGGAATGCCAAGCCCGACCCAGTGTTTTTCTAGACCATGGAATAATGGCTAATCAATCGCTTGAATAATTGATGTCATGCATAATATAGTCATACGTTTCACGGAATACGAAATTCGTCTTATTCTGTGAGGTGCAAACTTTTATATGAGTGTACGCAATAGACTGACGTTAGTTGTGTTGCTAAAATAGATTTAATTTCCTATAAAATTGAGTTACATTGCAACCAATTTATTGTTAAGTGGAGGTGATGCTTTGTTTGACCAAAACATACAGTTTATTTGAAGTAAATTCAACATTTCACTACACTATCTCCACATGTATCGAAATCAGTCCTAAGATAGGCTGTCAGTGTTACTACCTTCCTTTCCCTCCCCTTTATATTCCACTGGCATCTTTTCCTGCTACACGTCTATAAGTTTCATGTATCTTTCTGTGAGGGTTGAATCAGTATGTGTCTTGATGTATCCACCATACATTTTTTTGATGCTTTCATACTTAAAGTCTCTGTGTGGAGGTTGGGTTTTCCCATTCTGGTAACTATGTACACCTTTTGGCAAATTTACGTTGTTTCCTCCCAGTACTGAGCTTTTCGACGCTTTTTCACCACCCTTCCCCCTGTTGATCGAATTTGGCACTTCTTCGCCACTCCTCTCCTTGTCAGTGGACTTTGGCTTTTTCTCACCCTTCCCCCTCTTGGTCAAATTTGACGCTTCTTCGTCACTCTTTTTCTCGCTATTAGTGGAATTCAGCACTTTCTCACCCTTCCCAGTGTTGGTCAAATTTGACGCTTCTTCGTCACTCCTCTCCTTGTCAGTAGACTTTGGCACTTTCTCACCCTTCCCCCTGTTGGTCAAATTTGACGCTATTTTGTCACTCTTCTCCTTTTTAGTGGACTTTGGCTTTTTCTCGCCCTTCCCCCTGTTGGTCAAATTTGACTCTTCCGGCTGGTCAGTAGAATTTGCCTTCCCCCCGTTGGTAGAGTTTATTTCTTGCCTTGGAAACTTCCAGTTGCTCCAATCTTCTAGTTGTTCAACTGGATCGTTTTCTTTTTCGTAGATCTTATTTGTTGCTTCTTTCAAAATGGATTCATCAATTATTTTATCAGCTCTTCCCACATATTCACCATCAGGAGAAAAATTCTTTTGAATTGGCTGTGCATTTAATGTGTCCTTACTTGCTCTTGTATTGTTTTTTTCTTTGTTATCAAACTTTACATCCTGGGAGTTTGAATTATTACTTGCTTCAACACGAACTTGCGTAGGCTCATTTCTGCTGTTGTGACACTTTTTCTTGCTGGCTTCATCGTTATTTACTTTCACTTTTATTTTCACATCACTCGTTTCATCTTGGCTTTCGCTTTTATAACCATTTTCTGCCTGCGAACTTTCACTTTTAGTCGCATAAACTTCTCTTTTCTCTTGCTTAACTTCATGATTCCTGTATTCATCTTTCTGCTTCTCCTGCTTTCCTTTCTCTGAGGGAATATTATTTTTTTCGGCCTTCAAATTCGTGCCAACTTCTTCAGCTTTACAATTTTCCGTCTTTTCAGAACTCTTTTCAGTGACCTCTTCTCTGTTAGATAATTCTTCTTCTTCTTCGCTAGTAAAATCGGTATCAACAGAATCGATAGTGCTAGTCACTGATTCCTCATCCCAATAATTCTCCTGACTGACCCCATTAATTTTCGTTCCATTTATATTTCTAGCTTGTGTTTGTCGTTTTTCTTTCTCTCTTTTCTTCTTACTTTTCCTTAAGCTTGATTGCTTCTTCTTCTTCTGTTTTGCTGAAAGCGTCGGAGGCTTTTCTTCTTGTTTAGGTAACCAGTCAGCAGAGGGATTCGACGATTTATCATTTTCATCTCGTCCAGTATAGGAATTTTTCTTTCGTTCTTCACTTCCGTTATACTGATTCCTATTTGCTCTAAAACTCGAATTATGATTATTATAATTTTCAAAATTATTTGATTCCCAATGATTATGGTAGCATCTTGGTCTTTCTGTTCTATACGTATTTCTCCGTCTGTATCCGCCATTATAATAATAATCATCGTCATCATCATCATCGAAAACGAATGGGTTAAACATTCGGCCAAATCTRAATAAATTTTCGAATACCCTTCTTCTCCTCTCTCGTTCTTGAAGAATTATTATCACTCGTAGCCATTCAGGTATACCAACAGTATCTTCCTCATCTTCATCTTCAGTTACGAGAGAATTATAAGCTTCTTGAAGTTCTTGAAACCTTTCTGTTGCTGCTTCAGGGTTTTCAGGATTTTTGTCTGGATGAAGCTCTAAAGCTTTCTTTCGATATGCGTCTTTGATTTCCTTTTCACTCGCTGTTGGTGGAAGCCCAAGGATTCTAAAGCACTCTGCTCTACTCTTAGACATATCTTCTACTGATCAAGATCCTCTGGTATATTTTTTGCTAATCCAATATCCTATTTTTAAGCAAGGAAGGATCAAATCTTCCTTCTCTTCTATCTTTTAGACGGGTTCTGCGAACGTCGATGTAGATATTTTTGTCCTAGAGTCACGTGACCGCCATGAACCAATCAAAAGCCACCACAAGCAGGTAATTCTATAAACAAATTTCTTAGAAATTGAATTAATTAATTGAATTCTTGGAAAAAAAGAATAAGAATTTTTAAAATTTGTCTAAGTAAAACACTTTACTTATTTTCTTAAAGAAAGTACTGCTAAATCCTTCATGAAAACAGTAAAAGCCTTTTGTAAATATTGACTCACTGAAAATAACAACACGCCACATCTGCTAAGCTGATCACGTGAAGTCGATCTGGTGACGCCATAGAACTATTGTCACGCAATCACATTTGAGCTAAACTTCATACCGTATGTAGGGAATCATGCGTGGTGTACTGATTACTTTTTCACCCCTGGGGTACGATTCCTGAACTTGACATCACATGAGTAGTGTTTGTTAAGTCTTTCCCTTGATTCAAAAGTAGTCTCCGGGTTCCGCTCTGGTTTTCCTCCCTCCGCAAATTCTAACCCACTAAATGGTTTTCATCTGTGTCAGTCAGTTCTCTAATKGTTTCCATGTAAATTATGCATATGATTGATTTATAGTATGAGCCAACAAGTTAAGAGAAAGCTATGCCAAACACGCACGGTAAGCAAGAGGTCAACTCTATCTCTCTAAGTCAATAACAAGTGCCATTTCCTTATTTGAGAATTATTTTTTATTTCATTTCTGTGTGCGAAAAAAGTCTTTTTTTCCCCCATAAAATACTTTATAATCGTCGAAATGAAGTTATAAAACTCACAAAGTTACTGTCGTATCTTTAATATAAACACAGCTATAAAGTTACTGTACTAAATTAATAATAGTCACCCATACCAAATTCGCTGATTTATTTTAGCTGCAATACTTTCCCATTTCAAACCTTTTAGCTTCTCAAACGTTATCAGTAAAGAAAGAAATGATACTCAAGGAATTGACATGTGGTTTGAAATAGGAAGTCATTACGGCCCAAGAGATCAGTATTGAGGTAACCAAAGTAACTAAAATATAGAAGATTTTAAATTGACAAAATTTGACATTCAAAGGTCATTAATTGACTGAATCGTGTCAAGTTTGACTGCAGTTTGTCACACTTGTTGCTAGAACGCCGAGATTTCGAATCACGACAATAATTTGAAACCAGGAAAAATAGGTTAGCTGCTAACATCGGAAGCTTTCAAAAATAGTTAAGGAAATATTAGTGCCCGACTTTTTAAAGTTAAATCCTTTCATTAATGAGAAATCTACTTTAGCACGGGGATTAGGAAAATATATTTTTGCTTAACATCGTAGAAAACCCAATTACACACGACTGTAAGAAAACTCCCTCCCTAATTAGTCAACTACAAAATCTCCCTATTTTACCTTTAGAGAGAAAATGTCTCTTAGTTTCCAAATTTAACAATAACCTAGAAAAATATATACGGCCAATAATCAGCCAGTTGTTGTTTATGGATGTAGTTCTCAGGGCGTGGCAGTGCCAGGGGTAGAAGGTCGTAGGATATCTCTCCACGTTTCAATTCTCATATTCGGCGCCATCACAAGATCAGCTAACTGTAAAGACAATTCGCCTATGTACTTTTCTTTCGATACCCCGGTTTGTCCATACACCCGCATTCGCACCGCAACTCTAAATAAATCCTCTTTCATTAAACGATCGAACACGAATGTTTCTTTATATTGAGGATCTGGAGTCTTGAGAGCCTTGGTTTTGAAGCGCTGTTTCTTGTCGGGCAGAAGAGTCACATGGAATTTTGCATACGTTCCTCCACCTTTACTTTTCGATGGAATACTCCGAGCTTCAACTATCGAGAATCCGACTCGACCAACATCGGGGAAAAATTCAGCCATTAAGAACACCTTTCCCATGTAAACAGCATTTGCGAGGCTGCCTTTAGCGGTGCCTGTGCTTCTAATTGACCCAACATCCGTCAAGTCTTTCCCCCGCTGCTCGCCAGTAACGTCGCCATATGCTGAAACAGCTGGTCTTGTATATCTTTCTGCATCTGTTCCGTCTGAAGGTGTGACAATTTCAGGCACGCTTTTCGGAGAGAGGGAAGATTTGTAAGTATCTTCGTCGGTGCCTTCGTTGTCCTCTCCTAACTGAAGTTCTTCGTAACCAGCTTTTTGTTCTGTTTGAGCACAAGGACACAGGTCGTGTGTCAGGCAGTAATACATTGCTAATAGTCCTAACAAGAGGATTAATATCAGACCAAGGAAGGATATGGCTGGTACATACCCTGTGGAGGATGAAAACACGACATTAGAGAAGCGTTGATGTTTCAACTACCTTCGAAGCCGCACGTTGTGTCCAAAGACAAACAATCGCGCCGCGAGCTTTATTCAATGCAAATTTTACCATCAAATCGTCAATCAATATTCTTAATTGTAGAATGAAGAGACAACACAAACAAACCGATGAGAAATCCTCAGCTAGTTGCTACATAATATATCATTTCGAAAAGAATATAAAAAATGATACCAGAAAAGAAAGGATTAAACTAGAAAACTGCAGACGTTGATTTGCGCCTCAACTCTAGATCTTGGTATTTATGCTGGAAAAGAATAGAATTAACATTGAAACTTTAAACAGAATTTACACTTTCCAAACTAAATTAGGCTACTGCATCTTTATAACGACTATCATTTAACATATATATTGCTTTTATGAAAGCTAGGTATTTGAAAAACATTGATAATTGTACCACATAACGTTGTCGTGTCGGAGGAAACCGTTATTGGCTTCCTAGAGAGCCAATTTTAAATCGCTGATTTTAAAACTTGTGGTTGAAGTATTTTTATTTCCCATTACAGATCCAGTGTATATGATTTTGGTAATTACTAAAGTAATCGGAAGTAAAATGACTAGAAATGAAAAGAAATGATATACAAACTTGAGCAATAAAAGTTTACGTTTATGTTTGAAAAAACAGGTGAAGCAGAACTATGAAAATTAATATTCTAGAAATCCCGCATTCTGAAAGAACTATGATGAATATAACAATATTAGATTTATTAGGAAAAGCAGAATCATTGATTTAAAAACAGGTTTTTAACGACGGCTTAAAATAAGATCTTGATAATGTTGTAAAGACTGAAATAATTTTGGTAGCGATTTTTAACTTTTCTTTGTGAATACAAGGACAACCAAGACAAAATTGAACAGCAAACAAACAAACTCCAGTCGGTAAAAATTAACACGATTCTATTAATTTTATCATATTTGTTCAAAATATAACCAAAAATAGGGGGAGTTTGGAACTCTTAGAGTTGGAAAATAATAGATTTTTGGAAAATAAACTAATATTAGACTGGAGAAAATATGAAAAAAATCGCGCCTCACCTGAAGGGATTATACCAAATACCATACTCACGGTCAATAACATCAAAAAAATCACTTTTCCTTAATTTTTGAGTAAATCTCGTGAGTTTATACTAGTTGATCCAGGAAAGGAAAGGTATTCAGCAGTAGTGAGCTGAGTATAAAAAAACAAAGTTGTCCACTAATGTATTCATATTAAAGAAAGTCGTGCTCACTAGACGATGTTCAAAAGCTCTGCCATGAAACAAGACTGCCTATAGCCTGTGATGTGGCCCTTGTATGTACTATCCATCAAATGGATAGCTAACTATGGTCTCATTACTATGCATTGTTGCTATACAATGGCAGTTCCTATAGAAACCAAAACGAAATCAGCCTATTTTTAAGTCTTATGTTTCTTTCTTCGACTTCAAAAACTAGAAAATTTAGGAATGGAAATATACTGAGGAAATAAAAAGAATAAAAGTAGGAAATGATGATAGCAAAAGTAGGAAACTAAATAAGAGTAAACAAATGTTAATTTTGAACGTGTCGGAAAAACTGAAGTCTGTAGAATAAAGTGTTGGATCAAATTATCTGTCGACTTGGCAGACACTAAAAAAATAATCAGAGGAAGTTTAGATTAAATCGAGGCAACCAAATAAGCGTACAACGAAGATTATACAAATATCACGAAATTGATAGACATAGTAATCACGGCTATGACCGTTTTTCCTATATATCAACTAATAGGTGATAAACAAGTTTTTCTATTGAACTCACGAAAGCGAAATGAGCTTTTCAGTTAACTATGCTTTATTCGACGTCACTTACCCCAGACGCTACACAAACTCGCTCTCTATCTCAGCAACAGAGCCAAATGCTTTCCACTTTAACCCAGCTAACGCTAAAACAGCAATCAATTCTGCGAGAGATCTCTTGTTCTAACGTGTTTAGAATAATAGGGTCTCCTCTTTTAAGATCATATGATGATGTTTTTGTTAATGTTTCGCAAGTGCTCTTTCGATTGGTTGAATAAAACAATAGCGAGAGTGTCGGCATCGTTTTACCATTTTACCTAGTTGCCCCTAGCGAAATCTCTTAGAGAAAAATATTACCTACTTTCAGAATTTCCGTTATAAAAAATGCATTCAAAAGTTTCTATGTCAAAAAGTCAAAAAATTCTATGTTCAAAAACTAAATTATGGACTCCTCCAATAAAGCGTGACTTCGAAGGTAGGGTTCAGTGGCTTCTTCATCGAAAAGCAATCCCCCTATAGCGGTGTGATTTTTCTTTTACTTCAATAGGTCAATCCTAAAGGATATCATTTTTTAGTATTCATATATTTTTAACGCGATGACCAAAAAATAAGCATTTATGTGCCGATCTACACTATTCCTGTTTTTGAGGTGCGACTCTGGGTGCGACTCAAGTTTTCTGACACGTTTTCTCATTTGATTACTTACTGGCATGTTACTGCATTAATTTACATCCTAGGAGCCTATGGAATCATATTCCAGTTCTACTATTAATTAATCCTCATTGGTTATTAATTTAATCAATTAATTAATGAATTTCACTTTTATTACTGATAAGACGTTGTCGGTTCCAGTATGGCACAGTTATACAGGGATTTTTACTAGTAAAATTTTAGCTTACTCTTAGATCCACCTACGTGGAAGGATTTCTATATGAGATATTGGCCATTGGTTGCTGTATGTCGAGGTTACTCCCTTTATTCTTTCAGGCATTTAGTTCATGTTCAAGAGATCACGAACATAACAATGGTATCTACCTCTTCACTTACTATCCCCCTTGTAACTTTTAGCTAAATACTTAAAATATGTAAAACCTATTGATTATTATTATTATTATAGCAAGGTACCACCCCTGAACTATAAAATTCCTCCGAGGCCTGATAGTCGGGTTAACCCTGAGCCTAGGTTTTAATGCGGGATCAGTACATTAAAAGAATAGCTTATTTCTGTAAGCCGTATCTTTAGGGCTCTCAAGGGGGTCAAATCCCTTGTTCCCAAGTAATTTTCCCCCTGTTTGTTCGCTTGTGCCTTATGACACGAAACGCGAAACTCACCGTCAATTTGTTTCACAAAAATATGATTTTGCACTTTTTTTTTTCTCCCTAAAAGTTATTTAATTATATCATAGTATAAAATGGCCGTTGCTCCATCAAACCCCCTGGGAAGGGATCGTCTTTTGTTTTTAATCTTATTGTCAGTTTTCTGAAAATGAAGTCATCTGAGCAAAGATCACTACAAAAACAAATCTTTAACAAAAATACGTACGTATTTTATAAAATGATCATCTGGTGAATCAGTATTTTATACAAGTCTTTGATATTGGGAATAAAATTCTTAAAAAAGGTCAGGAAAGCCACACTTGTAATATTACACCAAACCATTTAATAGCGCGCCCAAATTCAAAGGTTTATATATTATAATAATTAAATCCCCAACTAGAATAAGCGCCAAAGTTTCTACATCTTATTTCTTGCCTTCATAGCACTATCCTATCAACATTCTTCACTTTCAAATCGACTCCAAAGTATTTAGTATTAAAACAATAAATCATCTTGTAAAAAACGATCAAATTTTGTCTGAAAAATATTTGGTTCTTGCCTTCCATGCACGCTTGACATTCAAGTTCACTGAAGAGGAACTTGCCGAGAGGAATTTTCGATATAAACTCAAGACGAGAACTATGTTTCTACTAAAGCTTCCAAGCAAAAAGCACAACGTATGGTCAAATGAATGTCGAAACTTTCAGCCGCTGAATGTTATATTATAGTATCAGCTGAAAATCTGGGGGTATTTGGTAACTCTGATGGGAAGAATATTTGAATATAAATTAATAGAGTTTAGTCAACTGAATAACAACTTTGATTTTAAGATATAATAAATTTATCTGTGCTAAAACTCACCAAAAGTCATATTCCTTGGTTATGACTGTGTTATTTACCGTGTTTACTCTTCGCTAGTGATAGCTTTCGTTGTTCATAGCGAAGTAACCAAAAGTCGGTCACATCACATTATCTGGAGCCAGTTTCCTGAACTCTATGAGTTCATAGACCCAGAATCTCTCGCAAACCCTCGAACCGAAGCCACTGAGTTCTTCAAGGCTTCAATGAGTGTTAATTCAAGTTAAATTCTTCAAGTGATGGGATCAAATTCAGCAAAGAGACAGTAAAAGAGAGTAACTAACTGATTTCAATCAAGTAAATAGGCAAGACGCACGTCATCAAGTTATGCACGGGCTTTCAACCGTAAAGAATCCTGTGATGTTGATTGACTCCAGCCAACTCAGTTTGCTCAACTGTAACGCTCTGATTTTGCATAACAAAGATGAAATATCCAAATTTAAGGCTTTTAGCAGGCTTAGTAAAACTCAGCTAAAAAACTATGACTACTCCCTTTTTGTTTATGAATATTTTGTCTTGTCAGAGTTTATGATGTTGATGACACGGCCTCGGTTGATTTTGATAACAAAATCAAATGACAAATAAATTCACAGAGGGGAGTGGAGGGAGAAATTACATTGAAAGGACAATTCCTTATTTTTTTGAATCACGAAAGATGTATTTGACATCTTTTTTTTCGATTTTAGTTTTGAAAGAAAAAAAAGAAAGAAAAGAATTGAATATTCGAAAACAGAAAATTTCCAGTTTGATACTGACAAGCGGTCTTATCTTATGCTTTGGGTTACCTGTGGTTCATGTCTTCAAAACAACATGGACGACCTTTCGGGTTAATATTGTGAAAGTTTTCTTCATATTCAATTCTTGCTTCGTTTGAGAAATTAATTGGAAAGCACATGGAAGCTTTACGTTCTATGTGAATCAAGGAAACTGTGGCTAGCTTTTTAGGCATTTTGAGCTCGCGAATTTGAATGTCCATGGCTTTTGAGCATTTCCTTGGTAAACGAAACTAAGTCTTTTGTATAAGATTTCTAAAGATAGCTTATCTTCAACGTTATGGCACGAAGTGGTTCGAGATATGGAACGTTTGAAGAAAGTCAGGAAAGCAGTAGGACAGAGCTTAGAGCTTTTGACGATCAAATCAGACGAGAACAAGAAACAGTAAGCGAGGTGGGTAAAGCTGTTGAAAATTAAACATGGTGTTCTTTATAAAATGCTTCTAGTTATAGATGATATTTGTAAAAAATCCCTTAGACAGATTTCATGTGATGTGATAACTTTTTGTATTAGTACACTATCTTAGGAAGGGGGGTGCGGGCGGAAGTCCCCCCCCCCCNCTTCATTTTGATATGATTAATAATATATGTCAGTTCGGTGAAGAAAAAATTATTTAGGGGTTAGAAATTTTTTTAAAAAATTTTTAGCCTCGTTTCCATGCTAAAGTCAGGCCTTAATACACCTGAAAGACGTTTCGTAGTAGCTCTAACCATCTTAAATCAATTTGTTTTTTAAACGTCGATACGTGTTACTTAAAACTAGACACTCAGCTGCTGCATTTTATCCATAGAAATGGCTCGTGACGGGAGATTCCATTCGTCATGTACATGATCTTCAGATAGTGAGATTAGTACATCTACAATTAATTAATACGAAAAATACCTCGAAAATAATCCGTAGAACAAGCGAACAATGCTTCCAATTTGATTCAGTATGTTCAGGAAAACCTAGACTTGCCCCAAGTCGACCTCTCTTGTTTTCCCGGCGTTTTTTAAATTCGAGCGCAGCGAGCGAGCGACCAGTAAAAAAAAAAAAACAAACAAAAAAACAAAGCGGGCGGCGGAATTTGCGAAAGTCTAAGGAAAACCCAAAGGAACCTTTCGAATAATTTTGAAAACAAACGAACAATGCTTTCCTTATTTAGATGAAGGGGACAGGTTAGTTTCCTTATATAGATGAAGGGGACAGGGTAGTTTCCTTATATGGCGATGGCGCGTCATCATCTGGCATCAAGGTTAGCACGATGAAATTGTATTTTGGGCCTATCCTCTTAATATTTAGTAAAGCAGAATACAACAGAAAATGGGCTCCCTGTGTTAATCACGTATTCTATTCTAGTTTTCTTTTCCAGTTTTGTTTGGGGTTCCCTTGTCTTAGTTTAGATATTAGATTATAAGCGTAAGCAGTATACCAGCAATCCAATTGCTACAATTGTTAAAGCATTTTTCATATGACTGTTAAACCACGTTAATCACAGTCTTTCCTAATAAGATATTGCAGGCTCAGCAATAACAAAGATGGCGAATTTTATCGAAGGAAAAGGAGGTTTATTCATCGGAGACTTACATAACAATCAATAAAATATCGATAGAATCGAAAGATCCAAGTGAGTAATTAGTGATTTTAAATAATATTTGGTCTACAAACAAGCATTTTCCCCGTCACAAACCAAATATTCTCCTACAGCCCATGGTTAATGGAGTAGAATGGTTTGGAAACCTATTGTCCTAGGTCTTTGTTCGACTTTAATTATCCATCGTTATATGACGCTGACCGTGAACAGAGAAGGAAATATTTGTGTTTGTTCGCAGTATTCGGGAATATAGAATTTTTTTTTTCCCCCAAAAAAGTCCCCCCCCCCCAAAAAAGTTTGCTTTAGGCACCAAAATTTAAGGCAGTGGCTATTCGTATGGTAACCGTACGCCGACTTTCAATTTCTATTTGTACTGATATTTAAATAGTGTGGAACTTTGGGGATTTTCGTTCTCCTCACTATAGAAGAAAAAATTCAATGGCAGGCAATATTCAAACCCAGCACCCTTGGCACCAAATGTTATTACAATCCCTATCCCAACCCTAACCCTATAGCTAAACCTAACCACTCGGACACGAATTGAATTTGCTGGAAAACAATATCAAAATATTTAAATATCCGTACGAATAGAAATTGCAAGTCAGCATACAGTTACCATACGAATAGCCACTGCGAAAATTTAATTAACTCATGCTGGATTCCTTTGGATTGCTTACTATCAATCACGTGACTTTTTAGAGTTGACAGTGGGGCAAACAAGTGGTTGACTGGGGGGCAACTAGTGGATGCTAAGTCAAAACATATCAAAATAAGTCCTCAAACTATTGTTTTTGACAATTTTCACGACACCAAACCAGAAAACAAGAGATCAAAACAACCTCCAGGATTCTAMAAGCCATCAAAAAAGAGCTATTACCGGAAGTGACATCTATTGATAGCAACCTATTGGAAAATGGTACATTGCCGCCCCCCTCCCCCCATAATTTAGACCTCACTTTGCCCCTTTATTGGTAGTAACATATATTTATTGCTATAAATTTTAGATTAATTTGAGTTATGTCATAGAAGATTTGAATGACCAAAACCATCTAATCAGAAACCGCCTACCACTTATATATGGAAGAACACTTCATTGGCTTTCAGATAAAGGCAATTTAGGGATTATCATTACATTGCATATTGGTATTATTGGACTCTTTATGCTGTCAATCACACAAGTGCATACATTCTGGAGGACACTTGCACAGTATTTGGTGTCCTGCGGCATGTTTGGAGTAGTAGGAGGCTTTGTTAACTGGATTGCACTTAACATTTTGTTCGTTAAAGTGCCAGGAGTCTTTGGAAGTGGGTAAGCATAATTATAATCAATGATTACAGTAAATAAGAGGACCATTGCACAAAGCATGTGTCACTTACAACCAGCATGTTGCATAATACGATATTTTGGAAAAAATGCTTGGCGTATGCTGCTAAACGCAACATTTCTCACCACAATGACATGGTCATGACATGGGTGCAATCCCTGGACCAAGCATTGTGAGTGAGAAGAGTTGCATATTTGGTTCTCTTCTGTGCCTCAAGGGTTTTTCTCTGGGTTTCCTGGTTTTCCTCCCTCCACAAAAGTTAACTTCTAAGTGTCTAATGTCAAGAAAATGTTGTTGAAGTTCACAATCATTTTTTTTCCTTTTCAGAGTTTTTGCCAACTGTCATCAGGAGATTACTAGATCTATTACAAGAATTTTTATAAACACGTTTCTCGAAAAGACATTCTTAGAGCATTATATTGAACAAAAACTTGGACGGCACATTGTAGAATTTAACATTGAGAGACGATTAAGACAGATATTAGAAACAGAAACAGTGGAACAGATTATAAATAAAGAATTACATTCTTTTTCACAATCATCTGAGGGACAGCTTCTTATGTTGGCGGGTGTTCGAGCTGTGGCGATAAAACCCCTTATACGGCCATTCATTATGGATATTGCAGCTGAAATAATTCCTGATCTTATAGAAAACCTATATCATGATTCAAAGGTATGTAACTTGCCAATTCATTGCTTTAAAGTTTTAGTGGATAGCCAAAATACTTGTGAAGTATTCTGGGGTCAGGGTATAGGGGTGGCAACATTTTTTTTGATGGAGGGAAGGGAGGGAGGATGATTTGTTGGTTACTGTAAATGGGTCTGGTAGGGGTATGTGAGTGATAGGGGCTAATGTGCTCTCGGAATTCTGTCTAATATTAACACACATAAATTTGATGTTACAGTATGCTACTGCTACAAAATTCAAGCAAGAAATCATAGAATATTTATTCCAAGGGAATATTAGAGTGAATGAAGATCAAGTAACCAAGTTTGTCAAGACACTAATCTACAGACATCTGAACTGGATTATAATAACAGGGTGCATTGTGGGATTCTTTATGGGTATCATATCTCAGCTCACATCTATAGCCAGAATCATCTGACAGTCATTATGTAACTAACATTATCATGTAGGGTTTTGAAGCAAAAGTTCTCAGAAGATTTCTTAGCTTAAATTTGTACAGTGGTGGCCCCAGTGATAAACCTTGTGGAAATTTCATGATGGTGATTCTATTTCCCATTCCCATTGACCAAAATCTTAGTGCATCATATTCATAGCATCATAGCATAAACAAATCAGTGCCCCATTTTAAAACTTGAAGATTCTCTCTAGTTGGCAATTAATGCTAAATTGACTTTTGAAAAAGATATTTCATGTGAAAAAATAAGCTCGCGAGAGAGAGATTTCTGAGAGAGATTTTTAAATTCAATGATGGACTTTTGAAATATACTTTGATACAAATTTAATAATAGTCAACACCTATTTTACAAAGTTGCTGTATTAATATAAGAAATATGAGAAATAGTTCATTCAAATAAAGTATAAAAAGACTATCATTTTCACAAGTTTGAGATATTTGTGATAAACATATATGCTGAGTTAATTATTTTAAATTGTAGCTTATTTATTGTATGGAATCAACAAAATACAAAGCCATTATTTAAAAAATATAACTAAATTGATTTAAATTCTATTTTATGAAATAATAGGTTTTGCTGAAGCTTTTTTTTTTTTTTGCCGTGCTTTTTTTTTTTTTTGCCGTGTTTTTTTTCCCCTGTCTCTAAATGAGAGTACATCATAGTAACTGTATTGGATTAGAATCTGTGCTCTTTCAGAAATCAGGAACATCACCATCAACATTAATCTTATCTTTGGTTCTGCAAGGCTCAATAATTTGTACATCATCATCATGTATTTCTATATAATCATGTAACTTGTTTTGTGAAGGTGTGCTGTGTCTATGATTGTGGCTTTTGGTTTGATTTCTTCTTTCATCAACTTCACAGTGCTCCTGTGCAGTATAATGCAAACTTTAGAATCAGTTGTAAATTATGACGGTATACACAAGATGGCAGAGGGGCTACTCATAAAGCATGATTCAAGCTAAAATAACTGTGATGTAGATTGTGATTCATGAATTTTTGGCTTTACATAACTTTATATGGTTCATATGTGACATGTGAATTTTAGAAATGTTGATTCAAAAAACGTGATGCTGAACTCCCCTCCCCTGCCACCCTTTATGCAGTGATCCTATACTATACATCTTCATATTGAATTTTATATTTAATATTTCTAATTATTTTTGGGGGGGAGGGGTGGGTGTACTTACATCTTCTTCATCTGATATTATCACTACCTCTGTGCGAGTCCTTTCTTGTTCTTTGCTATGTATAAAGTTGTATGCATGCAAATTTGGCTCACTTCTTGTTGCAACGATTTTTCTTGCAGCTGACGCATTAGGGCTTCTTTGTCTTTTCAGTAAATTTTGACTGCTTACTAGTGACCAGCTATCTTGGGTTTTGTCCATCCAGAAAGAGTCTTCACTGAAATCGTTTAGCCAGTCATCTTTAGGTTCTTGGCCTTCTGTCTTCTCATCTTTGTATTCTAACAATGGATTTTCTATGAAATTCATTGGTATTACTTTTCCAACTATTCTATCTTTAGTATGTCCTTTGGAAGAAAGTGAATTTGATGCTGGCAAAAAGAGAGGCTTTTGAGCAGACACATGGATTTCGTTTTCGTTTTCGTCTTCATAAAAACTCTCTACATTTGCTTCTCTCAGTGGATAGGTTATGTCTGTAAAAGCTAGATCATCAAAAGGATCTTTTTCAAGACTTGGGCTAGAGTTAGTTTTGGCTTGGCTTGTTTGTGAAGAGGTTTTCTCTCCAGGAACCACCTGAAAATGAATTGGCGCGGAAAAAGAAACTATAGGTTATTTGCGTTTCAAACTCAGTCTATCCTTTAAAGTGGTACCACACCCTTTTTTTTGCCAAATCATAATCTTAGCCTAACTTTGGCATAATAAAGGGCCCAATGATGAACCTTGAAGCAATCCTAGAAACTGCAAATTCTATTCCCCATTCGCAGGACCTAAAATCTCGATCACAGTCCATTACTGATTTCTAGTTTTTGCCAATGCAAAATCCCAAGAAGACAAATCGCAATTCCCATTTAACCCCTTATGCTCTTTTTGTAACTACTTATACTCCCTCTTGATGGAATTACAAACCTGCTCATCGTTTTTATCTTCGTTTAAAATTTGTTTAACACAGAGTTTTTGCTCTGCGATTTCCCACAATTTCAAATCCAGTTCACAAGCGAGATTGATCGTTTCCTTTATCTGCAGTAGTTAAAAAGATATTTGAAAGGTGAGAAAAACTTTTCAGTACGTGCTTTTAAGCCAGCAAAACGAAAGCTTACCAGGAGCTTCTGCAGACATCTTTCACGAAACTCTTCATCTTTACTTTTCAAAATTATTGCTTGTAAAGCATTTACTACCTTCGGAATCGCCTTATTGACTATTGATTCTTTTGAGTTTTTCTGTAGGATACAACAAAATTAATTAAGCTTAAAAATTGGAAGCCTTGAATTTTGAAAATGCTATCTAAGGAATGCGCTTGCCTTCGTTTGCCGACCGTCCGCCATTTTGAAGAAATTGTTTTGTCTGGAAAAACTGATAATTTTCATGCCATTACGGACGCAAAATAGACTCTTTCTTTTCTTATCCGTTATAAATAAATGCTAAACATCACAATTCGAAAGGAATAAACATCTTTTTCTTCATAAAATCAAAATAAAACGATAGACGAAAATGAATTAACACCGATAATTATTCGCGAAAAAGAAAACTTTTGTCGTTCATTTTTGGCGGGAAAAGTTGCGCACGCGTCTGCTGATATTCATGGCGGGAAAATCTGGCACGCACAGAATTTGCTTTTCATTCATTCATTTTTTTCTCCTAAACTTTCATTTAATTATTATTAGTTTTTCGCTAACTCTCACAAGAATATTTTTTCATTTGATGTAAAACATCTGGTAATATTCTTCATACAGAAAATCTCTTTGAGGTGTTTTTTTAATAGTTAGGTTGTTTATTCACTACTCCCATGTCCATATAGGTACAGGCCATATTATAAATTTTGGTTATTTACACTTATTTTCAAATTCCCATTAAATAATTGTCTTTATTAAGATATTTAGCATTGAAGAAGTTCTCATTTTTTCATATTTCAATTCCCTACTATCCCCAAAAAATGATTTTGATAAAAAAAAGATCTATCATATATTTTGTAGGTAACATCTAACATATCATGAAACACTTAAACTATAAGTTGAGTTTTCAACTTCATTGTTCTGGCTACCTGTATTATTGTTTGCAGATGTCAATCAAAAGTATATCTCTGTAGCTCATTCATTTTTGAAAGTATCGGCAAGGAATTGCCATTAACGAATTAAAGTCTTGTTAAAAAATTCTTGAAGTTATGTCTCTGAATTTGAACAACATTAAAACTTGTAATAAAATTGTCCTTGTTCTAATTGATTGGATTATTCATCCAGCCTTAGGTACATCATTTATCAAGTTCCATTTTTTCATTTGAAAGGTCATTTATCTTTTCTTTTTCTGTCATTTCTCTTGACTTCTGCATATTTTCTAGAAATTCCCTCATCTTCGAGTTCAGAGAATCATTCCAGTTTTCCAAAGCATCTAAGCAACTATCCAATTTGTCTAGTTCACTATCCAGAGCTGAATATTCTGCGAAATAACAAAGAATGCCATATTAGTGTTGGAAGAGTAGGGCAGGACTGTAAGTCAATATATTTTGACGTGTTTCTCTTGTGACTCGCCTGTATCACACAATATTAAGCTTATGTTATAAGGTAGTATTATGCTTATGACGACATGAAAATTAATTTACATGAGACAATAATTAGTGAAAAATGCCCCTAAAACAAAATAAATATAAAAGAATAAAAATGTAAAAAAAAACTAGAAACTATAAGAAATACAAACTCACCACTTTCATCGTAATCCCCTATCTCCTTTTCTGGTAAATTGCCATTTATATTCCCGTTCGTTATATGACCTTCCTTCTCGTCCGCCATATTGGAACACTAAAATACTCACCGGGGAGGAGTAAGTAACCTAATGTTTTGGCTGACACTTCTTGTAATTATTACAAGTATAAAAATTTATTTGGATTAAAGATCTTAACTATTTTATCTTTTAAATTAATCTCAAGTAATAATTTGTAAAAAGCTAAAATGACAGCAAAGTTATAGGAAAAGACATTTATTGTCTCTACCCCTACCCCGAAAGTAATATTAGGTATTCCCCACAATGCATTGCGAATCTTAGTTCTTCGCTACAACTTGAAGAAGGTGGTTTGCTTGTAGCTCATCGGTGTTTCGACTTTTGAAGGCTTATTTTATACTCAAAAATGGCGAAATGGGGCGAAGGAGATCCGAGATGGATTGTAGAAGAGAGGGCTGACGCTGTAAATGTGAATAATTGGCATTGGTAGGTTATTTTGAAACGTTTTTGATTGTATTTCTCTTTGACAGTGTGACACACGTGTATGTTCTTGTAACCTTTAATACTGTATCTTGAATGATCTGTAAAAAATACTAATGTTTTTTTTCTACTTGACGTTTTTTAATTCAAATCCATTACAGGACGGAAAAGGATGCTTCATCTTGGTCAAAGGAAAAGTTTAAAGAGTTATTTAAAGGCCTAGAAATTGCAACAGATAAAGGTAAGTTATATTTTAACTAAAACTCACAAAAAAACCTGTCTTTGAACTGATTTAGAAAATTTTGATTGAGATTAATTAGAGGCAATTAAGATTTGAGATATATTTAAGATATTCTATTAAAAAAGGGCATCTGCAAAATTTCTCTTTAGAAATAATCTTTGAGATCTGCATAATATTATGGAATTTAATTAACTCGATTTTTTTATTCTTAACACAGCAACATTCAAGATATCAGATATAACAAAATCAGAAGGAGAGGCTTGTGCAAAGTAAGTATCGAATACCATCGATACCTCACTGATGACGATCCTTAACACAAAGCAAATACATAATGGAGTAGAAGGAAGCATCACTCCCTTGTTTTTGTCTAAAAACACTAGACTTTATATACCTACTTTATATATTTGATGCACATTTATCCATATTTGTCCACACTTCATCATAACTAACCAATATTGGAAGATGTAAAAAAACCACTGAGGACGTAAAGAAACCCTGGCAGTGACTACCCTCAGTGCCTACACCTCATACTAACCACCTCTCATTCATATCTCATTGTAAAGCACCTTTGAATATATCCATATGGAAAATTATTATTATTATTTCGGTTTTACTTTTTGTCCATAGCAACAGAAAAGCCAAGCTCATCTTTTTTTATGAATGGGTCATCGAATTGGAATGGACAGGTATGTGTCTATTCTTCATTTGCACGTTACATCATCATGGCAATGTTGTCTTTTAACTCTCTTGGGAATGCTTGCAACTCATCAATTTGTTGTTATTAGAATGTCAATTTAAATAAGAAAAATAAGAGCAATGCATAAGGGTAGAATAATAATTATGTAGCACAATGTTGTAGCTTTAATGATAAGCACTGAACTTCACGTTACAGGTTCTCTGGCAGATAGTGAAAATGTCTTGAGAGGAAAAATTGAGATTCCCAATCTCAGCGAAGAAAATGAAGTGCATGAGATTGATGTAAGTTATATGTGTTGTCATGGGCATGCAATAAGGGATGTTGTATCATTTGAATCATTTGAATTATTGAGTTAAGTATGAACCTCAGTGAAGAAAATGAAGTGCATGAGATTGATGTA